CACGCGGTGCTCGGGATCGGCGGAGCTGAGGAGCCGTCGGGGCTGCGGGAGGGCTGAGGTGTTCCACTTCAGCGGGATCTTCTGTGGGCCTAACATTTAAGTCCAGGGTAATCTTGCGTGGCAGCAGCGTTTTCTGAACGTCTCCCTTGCAGGCTTTGCCGTCAGGCTTTAAAGGGTGATCTTTTCCGGATGGTCTGGAGTCGTAGGGCAGCCCGGGTGGGACGGGGCCGTGAGAGATTGTCTGGTCCAGCCTTTCACGGAAAAGGGACCCTAGATGAGGTTACTTAGCCCCCTCTGTCCAGTCGCATCTTGAAGACTCCAGCAATTGAGACTTTGCCACATCCCTGGGAAGGTTTTCTCCACTGTTTAAAAAAAAAAAAAAGTGTTAATGATGGCATCTGTGTTAATGTCTGTCTTCTTTTTTACAGAGATCGAAAACTATATAAGCTGGGGTTAAAAGGATTTTATGTCAAAGATGACAATGACAGTACAGGTAAGATAATATAAGGTACTGTGTGATATCTTATGCACTCATACTTAATGGGAATTAAGTGCAGTTATTTAAGGTACAGCAGTACTGTATAAGTGCTAACCCATACCTTTTTTTTCTTATTTCAAGCTTACTTTTCAGCCCTTTTATTAGGGGGTAGATGTGAATAATAACATGACTTGCGTAGCTTTCAATTTACCATGATCTTGATGGGGAATTTTGTGTCAAGCCAGGTGCAATGCTTGTTCCTGCCCAGACAGACTTACGAGCTCACATAGTGATCACTTGTTGCACAGAGCAGATTATCTCACAGGTCCTTGGCCTGCTTTCAAATCATAATTTCAACTATCTGAAAGTTAATTGTGTAACGGAGGGTCTGCAGGTCCTAAATGTTTTCCTGGGAACAATACTGTCCTGCTGTCTCTACCCCAGCCTAGGACTTTATCTGTCACTAATTAATCTGCTGGAGCACAAGTAGCAAAGAAGCAATAGCCCCGTTGGGGGCAATTATGATTCTCATGCACATGAGGAATCGTATCAGAAGGATCGGAGGACTCAGTCTCTCCTTACTTGTTCGTATTTTAGGAATAGTCATGGTGGATGCTCTGGCAAATTCAGCACCACCTGTGTGCTCCATCCTCCCACATTCCCCACATGTGCCTATCTGAACATAATCCCTTTGGCATCTAATTTTTCCATTGCTGTCTTGCTAGCTCCAGCATCATTATAATAATTTGATTTGAAAGGAAGAAATCTGACTGGGAAGGAACATCTGTAGAAGCTGGGAAGCACAGGTTACATGGAGGCAGTGTGAGTGGAGTGAAGAAGGACAATGTAAACCATGGTTTTGTGCCTAAGTTGTGGTGAGAGTCATCCATTAAAAACAGAAGAGATGTGCTGTGTGATAATTTGGCAGTAAATGTATCCTGAACAAAACAAAACAAAAAACTAAGACTTTTAAAATAACTATTTAGAGAGCTTTTGTTTTACATAAATTTAATCAATTTACTGTTCATACTTTCTCTATTGTATTTGTTGGTTTATATATGTGATGTTGCTTAAAAATTTGATAGATGTGCAAGAAGTGATTCAATAGTTGATCAATTATTTCTGAGATAATTAGATTCTGTAGTTCACACATTACATTTCTGTAAAATCATATTATCTTTGTTAGTATGTCTTTGAAAGTTTTGTGACAAAACCAGCAGTTTCTTTGATTTTAGGTTTGATGTGATACATGCCACAGAACTACGAAGAGTTTTTATAGTACACTAATTTTTCTTTTCTTTGCTGGGCATTCTTGTAGCTTGCTCCACAGGTTATTGAGGTAAATATTTCTGGTGGGTTGACCCCAAGCACCCATGCCCTGTGTCTCACTTCTTACTGCTGCACATCATATTATATGGTGTGGACTGTCGTTTTGGCCAGTTTGGGTCAGCATTCTCAGCTGTGTCCACTCCTGATCTCTTGCCCATCTCAGCCTACTCACTGGGGAGGGCAAGAGCAGGGAAAAGAGAAAGTTACGATGCTGTGCTATCACTTCTTAGCAATAGCCAAAACATCTGTGTGTTATCCACACTGCTTTAGCCACAAATTCCAAACACGGCACCACAGAGGCTGCTATGAAGAAAGTAAACTCTACCCTAGCCAGTCCCACTGCAGTGTTTTGACTGTCAAAGTTAAGATTTTAGTTCCTACTGATAGTTATGCAGAAGTTGAAGAATTTATGGGGAGAATTTTGAATGGGAGAGGAAGCTTAAAAGATAATTTTGCTAAATTTTTTAGGTCATGCGGCCAATGGCCATTGAGGTACCAGAACCAGATTATACTAACTTAATATAATTTGTTAACAGGGGAGGAACAAGCATCTGAGGAGGAGAACCATTGCCCCAGGGTGACATTAAAAGTGGATGCGAATCCTCTCGACCTGGAAGAAGTTGAACTAGACTCAGAGGCTGAGCTTATGAAGAGCATGGGATTGCCTCTTCAGTTTGGTGGGCAGTCTGCCCACAGGGACTTTATGGTAAATCTTTATTTTCTGTATCTGTTATGTTTACTTTGTGTTACCAAGCACAGGGATATGTCTGCTCCCCAGTTATTTTTGGGACTGCAGTTCATGGAAATACATCCTCGCTGGCTTCAAGATGCCTGCCTTGGGTACTTCTAGCAACATACAGCACCATGATCTCTGCAGTTTGTGAAATTCATTTGCCAGTTTGACTAAACATGGCCAGACAGTGATTTATGCTTTCATATCTATGTTGCTTTTGCTACCAGAGAGAACTAGCTTAAAACAACCATGGTAGCATTGATGCTCTGCATCAGGAGCCCTAGTGCACTCCAATCTGTGCACACATGTTAGTTTGGCTTTAGCTACTAGTACAAAAAGCTAGTTTCTCAGATGCTCCTTGCAGCTGATAAAGCCAGGTTATTCCAAAGGGCAGGAGTGAGGCTTGGGTGCTCTGCTTCCTATAGGGAGCATTTGGACTTTAGAGGAAGACTAAAGTTACTCACAACGGGATATCCACAGTGCCCACATACAGACCTTCCTGGTGGTGAGAGAGTACTTTTGTGCAGAGCTCTCTGTGGTCTGGTCTGATTAATTTGTCAATAAATAGGAGACACTTGTACATGATTTTAGTTGATGGCATGTAAATACACCTTACAGGCATCCAACTTCAAGCCCTAAGTATTCATGCAATTTTTGTTGTTACGTAGTAATGCTGCAAATAAGTTGCATGAGAAAATAATCTGGTTTTACTAGATTACTACTAAGTATTGTGTATACCTTAGTGGTTCCTTTCAATAACAGGTTTCTGTTTCCTTTCCTCTAGACAACTGTAGCAGTCTGATTTTGTTCTAACCAGTGAAAGGGATGTGCTGTACAAGTGTAGGGGATGCGTGTTTGGAAAGGAGGCTTTTTCACTGTGTTTCTACTAACCAACTTGGAGATAGTATGAGATGGAAGGAGCACTGCACCTCTCTTTTGAGTCAGTGTTTTTGGGCATCCTTAGCCAGGCATACAGAGACTCAACTGCAGGATTTACAGAACTTAAAAGCATAAAGTGATACTTATTTTTGTTCAAAGCCCTGAAAGACAGCGTGGATTTAACAGTCTATTAGGCTGAGTGCTGTATGTTCACTATCCTCATGAGGCACCTGAACAGCGTTTACTGGCCAGGCAGATACCAGGTGACAATAAGGTGCTGCTGTACTGCTGAGCTCAGCCCAGTGATCGCTCGGTTCCTGACTAACCTCCCTCTAGGATTTTGTAGTGTTTCATCTTAGAATCGTAGAATCACAGAACAATTCAGGTTGGAAAAGATCCTTGGGATCACTGAGTCCAACCATCATCCCTACTCTACAAAGTTCTCCCCTAAACCATACCCACCAACACCACATCCAAACAACCCTTAAACACATCCAGGGATGGTGACTCAACCACCTCCCTGGGCAGCCTATTCCAGTGTCTAACCACTCTTTCTGTGAAAATTTTTTTCCTAATGTCCAGTCTAAACCTCCCCTGTTGCAGCTTGAAGCCATTCCCTCTTGTTCTGTCACTAATTACCTGTGAAAACAGACCAGCATGAACCTCTCTACAATGACCTTTCAGGTAGTTGTAGGGACTGATGAGGTCTCCCCTCAGCCTCCTTTTTCTCAAACTATACATTCCCAGCTCCTTCAAATGTTCTTCATAAGATTTATTCCTCACCAGCTTCATTGCCTTCCTCTGTACTCACTCCAGCACCTCCATATCTCTCTTGAATTGAGGTCCCCAAAACTGGACACAACACTCCAGGTATGGCCTCACCAGTGCTGAGGACAGGGGGACAATCACCTCTCTGCTTCTGCTGGTCACACTATTTCTAATACAAGCCAGGATGCCATTGGCTTTCTTGGCCACCTGGGCACACTGCTGGCTCATATTCAGTCGCTTGTCAATGAGAACCCCCAGGCCCTTTTCTGCCAGACACTTTCCAGCCACACCTCCCCAAGCCTGTAGCGTTGCCTGGAGTTGTTGTGGCCCAAGTGCAGAACCCGGCACTTGGTCTTGTTGAAGCCCAGACTATTAACATTAGCCCAACAATCTAATCTATCCAAGTCTCTCTGCAGAGCCTCCCTATCCTCTTGCAGATCAACACTCCCACCTAGCTTGGTGTCATCTGCAGACTTACTGATAATACACTCTATGTCCTTATCGAGATCATCAACAAAGATGTTAAACAGAAACAGTCCCAACACTGAGGATGTTCCCTGAGGAACATCACTTGTGACTGGCCCCAGCTGGATTTGACTCCATTGACCACCACTCTTTGGGCCCAACTGTGCAGCCAGTGCTTGATCCAACAGATTGTAGGCTCATCCAGGTCATGAGCAGCCAGGTTTTTTTATGAGAGTTCTATGGGGAACCGTGTCAAATGCTTTTTGGAGGTCCAGATAGACAATACCACAGTCTTTCCTTCATCCAATAGTTGGGTCATCAGGTTATAAAAGGAGATCAGGTTTGTCAGGCAGGACCTGCCTTTCATAAACCCATGCTGACTGGGCCTGATCCCCTGGAATCCTCTTGGAATGTTCCCTCTCTGCTGTATTGTATTCCCAGCAGATGTCTGGGAGGTTAAAATCCCCCACAAGAACAATAGCAAGTGCAGGTGACTGGGAGATTTCTCCCCACTGCTTATTGATCTTGATGTCTTTCCTCTTGAATCCTTTGAGCTACTAATGACTTCCCTCTTGGTAGTCACTTCTGTCTGCAATTCTGCCTTTTTCTGTGTGTTTCTCTGCATTTTTTTTCACAGCTCTTTCTCACAGCTTCCTCAGAAACACGAGCCAGGGTTATGCAGCAGGGCCCTATTGAACCCATAAACCCTACAGCCTTTTGTGGGGAGAAAGCAGGGTTGCAATGAGAGGGAGGGTTACAATGGGAACAGAAATGTGCTTGGAGAGAGGACAAGAAAAGACTCCGTATGTGTTGTTGACTTATGTTTTTCCATTATATTTTAGGCAACAGAAAATTACAGAAAGAGAAGTAACATGAAGATTATGAAGAAGAAAAAGAAAAAAAAAGAGTTACAGCCAAAACATGAGGATAAAATGGGGCAGGAGTGCCAGGATCGAGCTCATGGTGATCATATCCAGTCCATTTCTGCTGAACTGGCACTAGGTGCAGAGCAACATGAGAAGAGCACCAAACCTCAGGTTTTAAGTGAAGGTAACTGTGATAGTTCAGAACATCTTACAAATGAAGCTTTACCCAGTGAACTCAGATTAAAATGGGAGAAGTACTGGAGTGAGTATGGAGAGGGCCTTCTTTGGCAAGGTTGGCTGGAAAAGCATCCAGTGGTCTCATTGTCTGAGGCCATAACAGCCTCTGAACCTTGGAATAGTCCAGATACCAGGGAAGAGTGGGAGCAGCATTACAGTGAACTGTACTGGTATTACTGGGAACAGTTTCAGTACTGGACAAGTCAAGGATGGACTACTGAGAGTTCACATGGTGACAACATGGAAGCTAATGGGGTTACTCAGGAGACAGGTTTTTTGGGAAAAATGGACGTGGTTAGCCCAGGGGCTGAACATAGTGAAGTGCTGAGCTTGGAGCTGTCTCCCTCTAACACCAGAAATGAGGAAACACTCCCTTCAAATGCTGAACCCCACGGTGAAATAATCTCCAGGATTTGTAATCTAAATCTGAATTTGGAAGAAGTGGAGCAGATCAGGTCAGCTCTACCAGTGTGCCACCAAGGTCCTCAAGAGCTTAGTTCATCTGACAGTGAAAGCCAGAAGGAGCCCTGTGATGGAGGAACCAGGAAGAGGAGTGCATCTCGTGAAAACAGAAGTATTAACCAGTCAGGTAATACAAATCAGCTAAAACTGATTTTATCTGAATTTCTTCAAGTGGTTATATATAAGAAAAAAGGGCGTATCTGTATCGTGCCATTTTAAAAAAGTCAAGTATTTTGTTGAATGATTGCATACCTGATTCCTTTTTCTTCTTTCTGCTTCTCTGGATGATATTTCCTCTCTAACCTGTGTATTGAATGTGTTCTTCAGCCGTAAGTGATTTTAACAGAACATGTACTTCATAAATCTTCAAATGTACTACAGAAAGTGGTGACAGAGCACTGCTAGTTAGTATTTATTTGTGTGTCTGGGTATTGCAGCTGTGTCATTCAGCTGACATGTCTTTTCTCACTGATTGTCTAAAATTAATAAAAACTCAGGTTGATGTTCTCATGAGTCTGACAGATTTTTAGGTGTGGTTCTTTCTTGACCCTATAGTAGACTTGGACTTGGAGAGGTGAAAGGAAAATCTCCCTTCCAGCAAGGAATGAGAGGGCTGTTGGTGTTCTCTCTTATTAAATGTATATAAGTATTTTTGCGTAGATAATGAAATGGAAACAAAACTTACAAACAAGGAAGAAACTGTTTTTAATTTGTACCTTGTAGTCATTGTATTTTTCTTGGAGAGCTGAGATAATTTGAAGTTGGTCCTGCTTAAGATTATTAACTCTGTAACTAATACTGAAAGCTTGTATTGGTCTGTTCTCCCTCAAGCAAAGGTAAAGATACATGGATTTGGCACTTGTCCGTTATTTGTCAGATTCAAGCATGTAAGACAACTTAACTGTAGCTGCAGATGTACCTTGGGGACAGGAAGATAAGGAGATTTGTGAGAAGGAAAATATGATCTCATCTGTCTTTCTTTAGGTTCACAGGGGTCATGTAGCTCAAATTCAAATGACAAAGGACCGTTACTGCCTCCTGACCAAGATGAAGATGAGGATGAAGAGCCTCCTGAATACAGACATGTCAAAGTCAAAAAAAGGCAAGTCATGAAATTTAGACAAGCTTTTTACTCAAGAAGCCTAGGTCCAGAAGCCTCCTTATTTATAGTAATTGAGTGAGATTGTGTTAAAACTTCAATACAAAACCACATAGTCTTCCATCACTGCTTATCACTTTACTTGGCAGCAACTGGCGGATATTTCTTCTCTTCAGTTGCTTTATGAAAACAATAAATAGCCTCCATAACTGTGCAGGGTGACAGTACTACTCGTGTGCCACGGAAGTATGCAAGATAGTTAAATCAGGACGGCAAACTTATCTAGGTCTAACTAGCATAGATGATACAACAACAATAGTAAATAATTTGCATTGTTTAACTGAACTGCATGCTGCCAGTAAAGTGCTCAGTCCCCAGCAATCATAAAATAGCTTCTATCTGCCTTGTCACTATCTTTTTCTTTCTCCTCTAAAAACTTTTACCCTCAAAGATTATGATATGACTCTTCCTCTCTAACAAACTTACAAACTCAAAAGTGAAAGGACGGGTGGAATTATTCTGCTATTGATGTGGCTTTGGTTTGGTTCCAATATTTTGCTGCTGCATTAGTAATAGATAATAGTATAGATAACATTTTAGATGATGAAGGTAACTTGGAAATAGGGTGAACAAACACTGTCTTCATCAGCTCCATGTAGGATTTGATATTAAATACTTCAAGAGGTAATTTGGAATAGTTAGAATATTAAAACCCAAGTAGGAGTTTATGTCCCTAGAATTGTGCATGTGAATAGGCTAGTGTTATCTGCCTTGCTTTGTTTAAGCTGTGCATGAAAGCCCACGTGTAAATGTTTTCAGTATGTGAGTTTCTTAGGGGTGTATCTGTAAAATAAAAGTGGTTGTTACAGTAAGTAACTTTGTCATCTGCATTTTTTCCTAGCCATGAACTGGATGTGGATGAGAACCCAGTGGAAGATCCTGAGGAAACCTGCTCTGTTTTGGGTTTCAAGTGTGGCACAGGACAAAAGTAATTGCTTATAAGGAATCTGGGGTTTCTTCAGAGCAAGTCAGCTCATGTTGTTACTCAAATAGACCATTCATCTCCATTCCCATTTTATTAAACTTTTGAAGACGATTCCCAAAGTTAGTCTCTGTTCTTAATAGAGCTGTCATCCTTGGGCTAGAGAGAGAAATGCAAAGTTACAGAGAGTCATTAAAGAACAAGAAAAGTGCTTTGAAATAAAAGTGTAACCTGTAAGGTACTTGCAGTTTTGCAGTTGTGTAAATGATAAATGACTGACCAGGCACTTAAAATTAAGAATGTCCAAAGGCTCTGACAATGTTTGGAGTTCTGTCAGCTTAGAGCCATCATTTATGCTGCTTCATATTGGAATGAGGTTGGATTATACTAATAAAATGTTGCTATACTAACACAGTGTTGCCAGGGGTGTTGACGGGTCAAATTTCATCTTTGGTGGTATGACCTAAACATGTGGTCAGTGCTGTACAAGTAGCATCACAGGTCATGGACAGTGGACTGTGGCTTAGTGCTTCTGCAAGATACAAGTTGTTTAGTATATATTTATTTTTTTTCATATATGTATACATTTCAAATAGGAGTGGGTTTTCTGGAATACAATCTCTGTTCTACCTTATAAAATTATTTAAGTGAATTGCACCTGGATTTTTTTTTTTCAATTGTATTTGCCAAGACACAAAAGTGGCTGTTTTGGAGTTTCGTTACAGCCACCAAAAAGATGTTTTATTTTACTAATCAAGATATTTTTAAATTTTCTGCTGTTCAGGCTGGTCTGGGAAATTGTTTCCACCTAAAGTTATACACCTATTCGAATAATTAAAAAAAAAAAAAAGGAAATACAGGTAAACATTTTCAAATAAAAATATATAAAAGTTTTCACAAAGGTACATTATTTTGCAGCTGTACCCAGTGACATATATTTCAAGATTGGAGCACATGTCTTATAAAGAAATAATGTAGTCTGAACCATCTTCTGTAGGCATCAACATTTATGTTAAAGCTTCTAGATCAGAAATTCACCAGCTAAGTATTTTTCTTTATTTTTCCATTTTTCATTTTTTTTTCTTTTTTGAGGTATGGTGGAATTCCAGATTTCACTCACCGAAGTGTGCAGTACTTGGAGAAAAAAGCAAAACTCAAGTCTAAATTTTTGGATATGCGTAAGCCAAGGAAGAGCAAAAACACACACATCTTCTTTACAGAGGAATCTGAAACATCTTGGAAAAAAAATAAAACTTTGAAGAAGGTAGGTTTGCTTTTTAGAGTTCCTGTGATCCGTAGATTTATGTGCTCACTTAGCTGTTCCTGAATTGTGAAAATAAAAAGAATTAATTGCCCATAGCAGGTACCATCTGGTGAGAGAAATGTGAACTTAATTGCAAAGTTATGTAGTTTCTGGAAGTATCTCTGGTTTTAAAATGCATATGAGGGCATTTGTTAGCACTGACATTTCAGCAATGAGGGAGGAATGTTTGCATAGGTTAGTGTAATTATGCAACTCCGTATCATTGTTAATTTGTATCAACTTTTTTTTTTTTTCTTATGCCTCCTGCAGTTACTTTCACCCATAACTTTATACTTGTTTTGTTTTCTTTGGTAACTTGGGAATTGATGAGGTGAAAAAATTGTTCACTGTAGATTTTTAGTAGAGTGTCTTTAAAATCTTTTACTTCAGATTTTAAATGCTACTTTGCCCCTTCTGGGATGCTTGGCATTCCTTAACACCAAAACACTTACCTGGTAGTGACAGCACACTTTGTATTGAACTCCACTCCCATTGCTATAGTTTTTGATCAAAGGCTTGGCCATTGCCATCTTGCACCTGAAGCCAGTATTGTTTGAGTGCAACTTGAGTTTAAAGTTTTTTAAAAGTTGTACATTTCCTCAGACTTTCTGGTGAGAGACTACCCCAGGCTTGTTACCAGTCAGTGCAACTCTAACATAAAAAGTGAGCATCCACATGTGCCTGTGAAGAGTCTGGACTAGCATCTGCACATTTGTTAGTATGTAACGCTGAATTTTTGACTATGCAGCACAACCCTTTAGCACATGCACCCTTTGATACCTCCTAGAGCTGATGCAAGTAATGTATAAAGTTAATTTTACCTGTTTATCCAAACCTGAATGGCAGTGTACAGCTTCTTTGCAGATTAGAAACAAGATCATTAAAAAGTAGTCGTCTTGGTCAGTCTGGCTATTTATGTTTCAGATATTACTTGAGAATTATTTACTCCTGATTTTGTGGAGTTTCTTCTTTCCAGGTAGCTGGTATCTAGTTCCCAAAGACAACTTGTTTTAAAATGGAGCAGAATGAAGGAGTTGTGTATCCTCCTGAATGTTCTGACTGTGGATATTTTTACTTTTTTCCAACATACATGTGGTTGAGAGTGTACGAATGGCAGGTGCTTTTCTACTCTAATGCTTTTAAACTAGCCTTACGGTTCAAAAGTAAGCTGGTCAGCAGTCTAATAAACCATGCCATTTGACAATTTGCAGGTGGAAGAGTTCCTAAAGCAGGTTAATAAGCCTGAGGAGGAAGCCACATCCCAGACAGCCTTTCCTGAGGGTAAAGCAGAGGCATCATCTGGGAGTAGCGACTCAGAGGATCAGGAAGGTATTACTGCTGCACAGACAGTGACATTGGATGCTGAAAACCAAAGGCCACCATCTCCCTGCACGGCTGGTGGTGAGTCTGGAAGTAGTAACCTTAAGGAGCAACTGCAGGATGAGGCAGCGAGTGGCTCCGATGGCCAGGATGCGGGGAGGCAGCTGGTTGCACTGGATATTCCTGACTATCTCCGGGCAGAGACGGAGGATGTCAGCCCAGGTACATCCATTTCCTACAAACTGGAAATTAATTGGCAGTGGACTTAGTACTGCCTTCCCAAATTACAGCGTTGTGTGGTAATTATTCTGTTTGTTCAGAGAGACTCATTAGGTCCAAGGGATGACTCCAAAATGAGACTGATTGAGAGCTGTGCTAGTGGAAGCAGCTCATTCCTGAAGTGTCAGAATCCCAGGTCTTGTCTTTAATATTGACAGCATTTCTCATCATATAAACAGTCGTTGTTGATCCTAGACATGATCTGACAGGTCTCCAAATCACACCCTTTTTCCCTTTATTCAGGTTTCTGCATATAGTTTAATCCTTCCTACAGTAATCTGGTTATGTTGGATTTCTACTGTAAAGCTCTTGTCTAGATTGGTTCTTATTCCTTATTTGTAGAAAGGCATTAAATTAGATCCACTTGTTTGCTCACTATGTGAAGTTTAATGCCATGAGTTGAAGATGCTGGCTAGCCTCTTAAGGCTCTTAAATAATGGGTGATGATTTTTAGGAATGTGACTGATACCTGTCAGTTCCCTTGAAATATAGGATGCTCTTTTTTAACTTAAATCACTAATCTGCATGATCTGGCAAACAGTGATAAGGGACATTTATCAGTGTTGCTAAACTTGAACATTTTATGTGTTAACTCTACCGATTGCATTCCTAGCCTGCAAGAACAGTAGCTGTTAACTTTTTCAGTGTCTTCCAGTTGTAGATGAAAAAATTACTCCAAAGAAGAAGGAGAAAAAAAAGAGAAGAAGGAAAAAAATTGCACTGAGATCTATCCCTGCTGAGATTGCTGCTGACCCAGAGCTGACCAAGTACTGGGCACAACGCTACCGGCTGTTCTCTCGGTTTGATGAAGGAATTAAACTAGACAGAGGTGTGTTTAGCACCAGCTGCTCTGGGTTGGTGGTGTAAGATGTATCCAAACCTGTATCCCTTCTTGCAGGGGAGCATTACTGATAATATATTTGAACCTCTGGATAAATTCCATCCCCCAGCAGGCAGACAAACAGAAGGCATGGGCTTCAGTAGAGCTTCTGGCATGAGAACCCCTGTTTGTATTAGTCCTGGTGCTTGGTCAAGACTTTAAAAAATCTCAATTACAGTTTTCTACTTCTATATTTTATAAAATAATTTTGTGAAATGTTGAAACATGCTGATAGATCTAGTTTTGTGCTGTTTTTTCTAACTTTCAGCAGTCACCTTCAAGGTTACTTTTTCATATTTGCATGGAAACCACTTGCAAATCATAATTTCATAGGTTAATAATGAGGAATTATGATTACTGCTTTTTTGTGTCTTGGGTTTGTTGGTTTTATAAGCCCTTCACTTCTAATACTCTCCCGTATAAATATGTAGATTATTTGGCAGACCAGACATAGCTGTAAAGAAAATAATGTGTCAGACAGGAGAGAATATAGTTCTGTTTTCGTTTGTTGCAGGGTGTAATCATGATGTGAAAAGTTTTCCATAGCTGTCTCAGTGAACTTGTCCTTGATAAGCCAGAATCCTCAACACGAAGTTCAACAAAGCAAACACTGAGATTCAGGCATATCTCTTTGCTTCAGTGAGACTTTGTTTGCTTAGCAAGTCTCAGGACTGACCAGAGTTTATCATCTTCCACAGCCTGTATTTGCTGGTCGAATGTGTTAAGCCAAAATTGTTGGGATTACTGCTGAACGTTCAG